CCTCAAGGTGACTCCCAAGGAGCTTGTAGCTGAAAACGTGTCCTTCCGTAGCATCAGGTGCATCTTTCAGGTCTTGTTCCAGGTTTAGTATTTTTTTTTTCTTGTTTCTTAAACACATGACTTTCAGAAAGTTTTCAAATGCTGTTGATCTTAAACACTTTCCTGTTTTTCAAAGCAGAGAAATGTTTTCAGATAATGTCCGTTTGCCATTTTGTTGGTGCTAAAATACTATTTTATGTGTTGAACTGAGTTATTATTATTTTTATTTTTATAGTGTCAGCTAAAGGAATGGGAAAGAATAGTGTTTGTGATAAACCACTGATAAAAATGAGTAAAATTAGTTCTTGGCTACACCTGGACCAGCCATTCTGTATCTGTATTGCTTCAGTTGCTGCAGATGGCAGCCTATGGGCCTGGTTCTGCTGGAGGTTTCAAAAGGAGTTTTTCCTTCCCACTGTCGCCTGTGTGCCGCTCAGAATGGGAGATTGTGACAAAGTGAAGTTTTGATGCAATCTGCTGGCCTTCTAAGACAGATAACTGCTACTAATTGTCATTTTATAATGTTTTTGTAACCTTGAGATAACTTTATAGTGAATCTGCGCTACATAAATAAACTGAATTGAATTGCTAAGTTATTTGTTGTATCGGCTGTTCAATACTAATTTGTGCAAATGCAGTTTTTCTTAACTTTGATATTGCTGTTCAATGAAGGTGGGCTGCTGTTGACCTCAACCAGTGATGTTGTCGGGAGGTGGAAGGAATACTTCTCGGACCTTCTCAATCCCACCAGCACATCTTACATGGAGGAAGCTGAGTCGGGGGACTTTGGAGTTGATCCTTCCATAACTGTGGCTGAAGTTGCCAAGGTAGTTAAAAAGCTCTGAGGCGGCAGGGCTCTGGGAGTGGATGACATTCACACGGATTTCCTTAAGGCTCTGGATGTTGTGGGGCTGTCTTGGTTGACACGCCTTTGCAACGTCGCATGGACATCGGGGACAGTGCCACTGGATTGGCAGATTGGGGTGGTGGTTCCCTCTTCAAAAAGGGGGATTGGAGGGTGTGCTCCAATTATAGGGGCATCACTCTCCTCAGCTTCCCTGGTAAGGTCTATTCAGGGGTACTGGAGAAGCGAGTCCGATCATTGGTCGAACCTCAGATCCAGGAGGAACAATGTGGGTTCCGTCCTGGCCGTGGAACACTGGATCAGCTCTTTGTCCTCACTAGGGTCCTCGAGGGGTCATGGAAGTTTGCCCATCCTGTCTACATGTGTTTTTTGGATTTGGAGAAGGCATTCGACCGTGTTCCTTGGGGTACAATGTGGGGGCTGCTCCGTGAATATGGGATTGGGGTCCCGTTGCTACGGGCTGTTCAGTCCCTATACAAGCAGTACGAGAGTTTGGTTCGTATGGCAGTAAGTCAGACCCCTTCAGGGTGGGAGTTGGACTCCACCAGGGCTGCCCGTTGTCACCGATTCTGTTCATAACTTTTATGGACAGAATTTCTCGGTGCAGCCGGGGGTCGGAGGGGTTCCGGTTCAGTGGCCTCAGGATTCCATCTCTGCTCTTTGCAGATGATGTGGTCCTGTTGGAGTCATCGTGCCATGATCTTCAGCTCTCACTGGAGCGGTTTGCAGCCAAGTGTGAAGCGGCTGGGATGAGAATCAACACCTCCAAATCTGAGGCCATGGTCCTCAAGCGGAAAAGGGTGGATTGTTCTCTCCAGATCAAGGGTGAGGTTCGTCCTCAAGTGGAGGAGTTCAAGTATCTCGGGATTTTGTTCACGAGTGAGGAAAGAATGGAGCGTGAGATTGACAGATGGATAGGTACAGCGTCTGCAGTATTGCGGACTCTGTACTGGTCCGTTGTGGTGAAGAGAGAGCTGACCTATAAGGCAAAGCTCTCTGTTTACCAGTCGGTCTATGTTCCTACCCTCACCTATGGTCACGAGTTCTGGGTAGTGACCGAAAGAATGAGATTGCGGATACAGGCGGTTGAAATGAGTTTCCTCCGCAGGGTAGCTGGAGTCTCCCTTAGAGATAGGGTGAGAAGTTCGGTTATCCAGGAGAGACTCTGAATAGAACTACTGCTCCTCCACATTGAGAGGAGCCAGTTGAGGTGGTTCGGGCATCTGCTAAGGATCAATCAATCAATCAACCTTTATTTATACAGGTAAATCCCATTGAGCCTCGAGGACTCATTTACAAGAGAGACCTGATTTCAACAAAGAAAGATGACAACAATGGACAACAGCAACAACAATAAACAGTTATAAGAAAAGCATACTACAGTTTTTTTTTTTTTTTTTTAACAAATAGGATGGCTAAAAGGAAAAGGTAACAAAACAAAAAACAGCTAGATAGACACTTAGAGAGGTCAAGGTCGAGAGCTTCAAATCTTTTTGTAAGATATTCCAGGAAACATGAGCGGAATAGGAGAAGGCCCTTTTGCCTAGTTCAGTCCTCATTGAGGGAACACTGCAGGTAATAATGTCCTGAGAGCGCACTCCGTAGCTGCACTCACGCAGAGACATGTAGGAGGAGATGTATGAAGGCAACAGACCAAGAAGTGATTTAAAGATGAAAATATACCAGTGAGAGAGTCTGCGTGAAGTTAATGATGTCCAGTTAACCAGTGAATACAGGGTGCAGTGGTGGGTACGATAATCACAGCCAGTTATGAATCTTAGTGCACCATGATAGACAGCATCCAACATCTGCAGGGTTCTTGTAGGAGCGTTCATGTAAATAATATCACCATAATCAATTGAGGGAAGGAAAGTCACAGATACAGGATACTCCCTGGACGCCTCCCTAGGGAGGTGCTTCGGGCATGTCCGACTAGGAGGAGACCCCGGGGATGACCCAGGACACGCTGGAGAGGCTATGTCTCTCGGTTGGCCTGGGAACACATTGTAATCCTCCCAGAAGAGCTGGAAGAGGTGGCTGTAGAAAGAGATGTATGGGCCTCCCTGCTCAAGGTGCTGCCCCCGCGACCTGACTTCGGAACAAGCAGAAGATAATGGATGGATGGATTTTGCTGTTGGTTTGACAATTCATGTTTTTCCTTGTTGAATTACTCGTATGCACTAATAGCATCAGCATCTAGCTGTAGCAGTTCCACTGGCACCTGGAGCATAAGCATAACCATGTGTTGCAAAATTAACTGTGTTATTTTTAATAAAAGTATGTTTGTATAAACTACTTAAACATTTTGGAGATTGGAGTTGTTTTAAGATGGCAGAGGTCCACTTTGATCTTGGGCCGGCTCATCTGTCCTGTCAGAATTCATCTTTGTCCAAACTGAGTTTGAACAATGAGCTATCTAGAACAGGTAAGATATTGACTGCTCATTACCTTTTCCATAGAGCCCCTTGTCAAAACATCCAAAACATCTTTTTTAAATCATTGTAATAGTTAAAAAAAAAAAAACAATGAAACAAATGTTTGAACAGTTTTGTCAAATTGTATTATTGTGTGACTTTACTGAAGCAGCTGGTTTATTCAGATTACAACCGTAAGGATTCTGTCTGCGTTGTCTTCATTGAGAGGACATGTTTGTTTAAACACTTTTAAACTTTAATGAATCCAAACAATAATCCATTGCTTGAGTCAGAACAACTAAGCTGAGGGAAGAAACGTTTAGGATTTCGTTGGCACCTGGCACATCCAGCCCCCGTAGACCATCAATCCTTCTCCCAGAAATTAAATTCCCAACCATTAGCATCTCACGAGCTGCAACCATCACATTATGTCTAACAATGTGAAACTAAACCAGGACAACAAGGGGCATGAGGACATGCCATGTGAAGTTTCAGGGTGTGGTTTGTTATTGTGTGCCTCAACATCAACTTATTGTGTTCTTTTAAATGGAAACTCCCCATTCTGCCTCCCAGAGGGATCGATGGTGTTAAATAATGTCTTCAGTTTGTGGCATTTAGGGTCAGAAAAAAACCAACAACAGAAAACTGTTTGAAAAAGGGTGCTGCATAACATTATTCATTTATCACTTAAAAGCTTATTTATTTTTAGCTATGTGTAATGAGAAAGTAACCATGTGACATATATCTGTAATTTGAATTTCTTAACATTTATAAATTGTAGTTTAAATTAGCAAAGTCCACGCTCAATAATCCAGGTATACAATCCAACAATTTTCAGTCAGGTCATCTGTAGCTTAAATTGATTTTGGGAAACGAATCACATTCACTTTCAGGGACTTCATGATCCAGCATCGACTCCTAAACTGTTCAGAATTAACTAAACATTTTTTTTATTTATTGTTTGAAGGCAATAAACAATTATTTGCTTGTATGCATTTCTGTTTGCAAAATATCTCATGAACCGCTGCACAAGTTTTAATGAATTTTGCAGAAAGCAATCATTGGATGCACCTCAAATGATGGATGTAACGTAACTGATTTTACAAATAATTACCTCAAATTTGATGTGATAGTAGCTGCACTTAACCGCATTATTACTATAATAGTTTATACAAGACTTTTGATTAGCATATAGTCATTAACTGTTTGAAGTCAACTTTGTCTGTTAGCAAAACATCTCATGAACCACTGGAAGAATCTTATTGAATTTTGAAGGAAGCCATCATTGGATGTAAGTCTACAACTCAATAACTTTTGGAGTCAAACAAAATCAAGATGGCCACCACAGCTAACCCACATTAGCCAACTCAAAAATGGTTGTAACTCAGTCGGTTTTACAAATACTGAGATGAAATTTAATGTGGTAGTAGCAGAGTCATTATGTGTGGAGGTTGGAATGTGACAAAATTAAATAAATAAATACAAAATAATTAAATGTTTCATTTAATTATTAATTAATCATTAAATATTCAATTAAATTTAAAATTTATTTTTTATTTAATGAACATTTAATAATTTAATTGTATATTTAATGATTTAATGATGTATTAATTAAATGAAACATTTAATTACTATGTATTTATTTGTTTAATTTTGGCACATTTCATCCTCCAAAGACCTTCAGTTTATTAAAGAAGTTATTTAAATAGTTCAGAAAACATATTTCGTTCATATTCATCTCTTGGCTGCTGCGAACATGGAGGGAGGGGAAGAAAAAAAAAAAAAAAAGGAAAAAGTCCCGTCCACGCGCTTCGTGACAAACTACAGAAAAAGGTGTGTCACCTGTGTGACGTCACGCCGTACCTGAGTTTCGGTGAGCAGGAAGAGGAGGAGAAGGGAGGTCGAGAGAAAAACATCAGCTCGCCTAAAGTTCTCGCAGGTAAACAGCTGTTGTTGTTTGTAACCTTTCAGAACCGCGCGGGTTCTGCTCGGCTTCCTTCACGCAGCGTGGATTTGTGGACCCACGCAGGAAACAGACGGTTCTAGTCCCGGCTGCTGGCGCACAGTCCGACAGGACGACTTCCTGCTCCAACAGTATGTTTGTCTTTAATCATCCCGTTTGTCAGCTGCCTCTGCGGTTCAGCGCTTTGCGTTTACACTTTTTTACTGAATTAAATCAGATTCAGGCCTCCCCTTCTTATCGGAACGCAAAACGGCTCTGGTTGGAAAATCCGGATTTACAGGATCTTTTTGTTGGACAGTAAACGCAGCATAGCCTTGGAAATTTGGGAAATGACACAAATGAAATAGTTCGGTCCCAGCACGGACTGAACCGGGTTTGCTTCTGTGTGTTTCAGTCAGGATGTCCGTCACGCCTCGCCGTGTCCGCCTGAAGCCCTGGCTCGTGGCTCAGGTGGACTCCGGACGGTACCCGGATCTGGTGTGGATGGACCGGGAGTCCATGCGCTTTAGGATCCCATGGAAACACGCCACGCGACACACACCCCAGCATGAGGATGAGGACACCATATTCAAGGTTAAAAAAAAATATATATTTTAAAAATTGTGTGTGGGGACCTGATTGATATTTGGCTCATTGTCTAGTTTGTTTCAGAGTGGATCAAAACAAGAACCAGGTGTGGCAAATGTTATTTTTATTTATTTATTTCCTAATTCACACTGAGGGAGACTTATTGAAAAATATATAGGCCTACATACATTTCCATTAATATTTTATAAATTCATCCATCTTTACCCAATTCTTCCTTTTCGGATCACGGGGGTCACTGGTGCCCATGTCCAGCTATCACTGTGCAAGAGGCGGGGGACACCCTGGACAGGTCTCCAGTCCATCACAGGGACACATAAAGACAAACGAGACAATTCACTTGAGTTTATTTATAAAGTGTCAGGCCACAACAGAAGTCGTCACAGGAGACAAACAACCATTCACACTCACACCTAGAGACAATTTAGAGTTAAGCTTCCAGTATACTGCCGCGTACGTCCGTTCACGCGTACGTACGCGTGTACTGTACGCAGAGGGTTCAAACTTCGTACTCCAGCGTACACCCCGAGCAGCTTCACAGACGAGGGGCATTTACCTTCGGGACAAATTGAGGTCGCCGATTGATCATTTGCTGACACGCCTACTGGATTGATTGACAGGTCAGGGGGGGAACAAGCGCTTGCAGCCACAGCGGTGTTCTGTGTTTATATGTTGTTAATAAAAAGATCTAAAAAAATAAAAATGGGGAGCGCTGGCTCTGCAGCCCACACATCAGACCAGCACACCAGGAAATCTCCAGATCCTCCTGCAGCCACGCTGGACCTGAATTTAATTCGCTCGTGACAAATTCCTTCATTTCTCACCATTTCAGTCATGGCATCAACGGAGGAGGAAGAGATCGCTGCCTCTTGGCAAAAAAACAAAAGAAAAGGCCAGATCAGGGATGAAGAAGGGGAATTTAATTACATTACATTGGTGTCGCATACAAAACAGTCCGTCGCTGGGCAGTTTATTGTGCGACACCGCGTACGTGTATGCAGTCGTAAAAATTGAGCTTTGCACGGACATGCCCTGGGGGGTACGCTCGTACCTCTGCGTACGTACGTGCGTACCTCTGTGTATGGACATACGCGGCAGTATACTGGGGGCTTTACATGCATGTTTTTGGTCTGTGGGAGGAAACCGGAGTACCCGAAGAAAACCCATGCATGCACGGAGAGAACATGCAAACTCCATCCAGAACGGTATTTGAACTGGCAACCTTCTTGCTGGGAGGTGGCAGCTCTACCAACTGCGCCACCGTGCTCCCTATTTCATAAATTCAATTAGCAAATTTCACCTCTACCATTGATTGCTTTGGGCTCCTACAAAAACTCCTGCTAGAGGTTTGAGCTTTTTTATCCTTTAGTTTAAATCTGACGGTTTCTTTCCCACCATGAATAACAGCCTTTAATTTTCAATAAGGCCACAGCGTTGGGGTGGCCATTCCAGACACTTGAGACCAGTTTTGGTTGTGGTTTGGGACCCAACCATGTCCAAGTTTCAACCACCTCACTGCTGATTTGAGGTAGAGGTGAAGAATTTGGAGATAGACCTCCAAGTGTATGATACTTCTACCACCATGCTTGGCAGGCGGTGCAGTGTTCTTAGGTTTGAAAGCCTCACCTTGACTCCTCCCAACAGACTGATTGTGGTTCCAGCAGTTTTCAGTTCATGCAGGCTTTGTCTTCATCAGTTCCTGGGTTGTTTATGAACATCTAAACCAATGTTCTTTCATTTGACAGTCCAATATGCTGTCAGACAGGCAAAAAGAAACTACCTGCAGCTAATCATGATCATTATCTAAATGCTAAAAGGCTTTAGCCTTGATCTTGGTAAGACATACTAGAAACTTTAGCATCACATAAAAAAACCTGTAATGAATGTACCGGTATGTATTTATGCCAGTATCTATAATTCAAAAAGTTACAGTCCACTGATTTTGTGACCAAATATGTTGAATATGGCTTTGGACTCATCTTCTGAACAATGCATTATCAATCAATCTGTAGGAAGTTGGGAACAGGACTCGTATCTGAAAATGAATGCCTCCTCTCTTACCATGCTTCTTCAGGCATGGGCCGTGGAGACCGGGAAGTTCCAGGAGGGAGTTGATGAACCTGATCCCGCCAAGTGGAAAGCCCAACTTCGATGTGCCCTAAACAAAAGCCGGGAGTTTAAACTCATCTATGATGGCACCAAAGAGGTCCCTATGAATCCCCTGAAGATCTACGATGTCTGCGACATCCCACAGTCTCACAGTAACCAAGGTAGCCAAGCCGTTTGAGTCTGACCCAGTGTTTCCATGTTTTAACAGCTGTTTCTTGGCCCACAGCCCCTTCAGATGCTGGTTCTCAGACTCCATATGACGAGGATCTTGGTGAGGAAGATATTCCAGATACACCAGAGTCTCTTCCTCCTTATCCATCCAGTGGTGATTTATTTACACACAAGCAAAAACGGCATGTCCAATATAGTTTGATCTCTGTCAACAATGAAAAAATCTGTTCTTCCAGACACCAGTCCTTCTCCACATATAATGTGGTCTCCGATGGGTTCAGATTCGTCCATTCAGCCTCCTAGCTGCCCTCCTTCGAACGAGGTGTGGGTCAAAGAGGAGCCTGTTCACATCTGGCCGAAAGAGGAGCCAACAGATGTGGAGATGCAGCCCACTCCCATGGTTGACCAGCCCACTGTTCCTCTTCCTGACTCCACTCTGCAGCCGGCTCCTCTAACCGACGCCTTCTTTGCCTCCCCAGAAATGTGGATCAGTTCCCTCCCAAGTGAGTTTGTACAGTTTGCAGCTCCTTGCAAAGAGTCAAGTCGCCAAAATGTTTGTGTCGAACAGCTGGTATGCACAGAGATGCAAGAACAAGGGATTTTTTTTTTTTACTGTGCTAGAAGTTGGCCAATACTTGCGTGTTTGCAGTATCTAAATGTTTTGAACATGTCTGTGCCTGTCTCTGACCCAGTGACGGACCTGGAGGTGCAGTTCCTGTACAGAGGGAAGGAGATGTGTCCCACCATGACTGTGAGCAACCCACAGGGCTGCAGGTTGTTCTACGGGGACCTCGGACCCATGGTCAACCAAGAGGAGCTGTTCGGGCCTGTGAACCTTGAACAGTTGCGCTTCCCGACCACTGAGCACATTACCAACGACAAGCAGAGGATCTTCACGAACCGCCTGCTGGATGTCATGGACCGAGGCCTGATCTTGGAGGTCAGTGGTCACGATATCTACGCGGTCCGTCTCTGCCAGTGTAAGGTGTACTGGTCCGGCCCCTGTGCGCCGAACCCAGCTGCACCAAATCTTATTGAACGGCAAAGGAAGGTCAAACTCTTCTGTCTGGAGTCTTTTCTAAGTGGTAAGTAACTTTTTTTTTTATTTTTATTTTTTTTATTTAACTTTAACACAATTTCAAGGTCCTGGATCCAGATCTGAACAGATGAACATTAAAACACAATAAAAATCCAGTAACTTCTTCTTTTTTTTTTTGAGCAGACAAATCTTTGCCTTTTAGTTTCATAAAGTGAATGCTCATTTTTGCAGAAACTGCAATGATCACATTAATTTTTCTCAGCCCTTGCCTTAAGGAAAGAATAGCTTTATGTTTGATAGATTAGTCCTGTTTCAGATCTTTAATTTAGCAGAACGCAGCTCAATGGAGGTGAATTTCTTTCCCATATTTCTCTTCCTGATCTGCAGGTGTGATAGCTCATCAGCGTGGTCAGACTCCGAGCCCTCCTCAGTATGAAATCGGTCTGTGTTTCGGGGAGGAGTGGCCCGACGGAAGACCAAGGGAGAGAAAACTCATCATGGTCCAGGTGAGAAATTCTAAACAGGACCTTGATAATAACCAGTCACACATAGTTTGTTTTAACTTCATGAAGACACTAAATAATTATTCACTGATCCAGCAGCTCCAGATGTTTTCTACCTTTTCATGACATAAACCGTTTCTATTCCTGTATGACATTTGTTTCGCAGGTGATTCTGCCGAGGCTGCGGGGCTGATCTGCAGTCAGTCATTAGAGTTAATATGGTTGCTGTATAACTGGAGATATTGCTGCTTTGTTTGGACAAAATCAATATGTTGTTGGGGCGGCTGTGGCCGGGCGGTTAGAGCAGTCGTCCTCCAGTCCCCACAGTCCTATGCTGAAGTGTCCCTGGGCAAGACACTGAACACCTCATTGCCTCCGATATGTGTCCCCTCAGTGTAATGCAATCTAAAAACACTGATTAATCTTTGTATAGATCTAGTAAAGTGCTGTATGAACGGTTAAATGAGGGCACAGATTGTAGCGTAAAGTGCTTTGAGTATCTTGATCAGATAGAAAGGTGCTATATAAGTACAGTCAATTTGACATTTGTGCCAGTGAGCAAAGCAACATGGGACACTGTACCATCTCTGTCTACCAAATTATATGTTGCATTTAGAAGCTTGAGTATTTCACTGGCTGCAATGGGAAGTCGATGGGGGTGACTGACAGAAGTCGATGGGGGTGACTGACAGATGAAACAGTGTTTTCCAACTGGTTGTGTTTTTTTTTTTACTTATTTTTGTGTACATTTCAAGTTCAAGTTCTTTATTGTAATTTGCGTCACATGTGGTGCATGGGGTGGAACGAAATTGTGTACTCAAAATCCCAGTTACACCCAAAATAGCAAAAAATATAAAGTATAAAAAAACAGTAAAGGATCTAAGATATACGCTAAACAAACACTAAACATCTAAGATGTATGCTAAACACTAATGATGCAAACCATTAAAACAGCAGCCCGAACATGATTACAGCTACATAAAGGCAAGAGATCAGCAGCATGGATAATCAGCAGCACAGATAAAGTCACATATCACCAATTAAAGTGGCATTATAGTGATTTTTCTTTTTTTTTCCCACAGTGATTTTTCTGGTTAGGGATTTATGAGTCAACAGCCTCAGGTTGGAAGTTGTTCCTCAGTCTAGTGGTTCTACACTTAATGCTCCTCAACCTCCTGCCTGAGGGGAGCGGGGCAAAAAGTGTGTGTGCTGGGTGAGTGGGGTCCTTCATGATGCAGTTTGCCTTCTTCCATTATCTAGAGGTGTAGATGTCTGTGATGGTGGGGAGGCTGACTCCAACAGACTTCTGTGCAGCCTTCACCACTCTCTGCAAAGCTTTTCTTTCTGCAGCTGTGCAGCCTCCATGCCACATGTTGATGCTGGAGCACAGGATGCTCTCCACTGCACACCTGTAGAAGGAGGTGAGGACTGAGCTTCCCAGACCAGCTCATCTCAGCCGCCTTAGGAAGTAGAGTCTCTGATGTGCTTTCTTGATCAGACTGGTAGTGTTGTTGCCCAGTATAAAGCTAACACAAGAAACTGCTCATGATACTGAAATAAGGAAGTAAATATTCATAAATCTGTTTGTTGAGAACATTTCTCAGCGCAGACGGCTGCAACGAGTGATTTTTCATGCAAAAAACATGACAGAATTTATTTTTTGTGTGATTTTTTTTTTTTTATCATCACATTGGTTCTGCAAGCCTTTTTATTTGATTAAACTTTATTTATCCAAGTTACTCGATAGAGTAAATCTCAAACTCAAAAAGTTTGCAGCCATCAGTCTTGATTTCATCAAGACATTTTTAACAAAGGGCGAATGGAGGAGGAACTGTTATGTGTTAACGGCAGATAAATTTGAGAGTCATCAGCATAACAATGAAAGAAAGACCATGTTTCCTCAGGATACACCCTAAGAGGAGGAGATGCAATGAAAACGGAAGGGGTCCAAGAATGGAGCCTTGCGGGACCCCGCAGGATAGAGGCACTGAAGTAGATAGAGTGTGAGCAAAATTAACACAGAAACTCCTGTCGCTCGGGTATGAATGGAACCATTCTAATGCTGCACCAGTAATCCCAACCCAGTGTTCTAGCCGGGATAAAAGGATACCGTGTTCCACAGTATCAAATGCAGCGGTAAAGTCAAGGAGTACCAGGACTACAGACTGACCAGAGTCATTTGCCAGAAGAATGTCATTGCAGACCCAAGGCTGTTTTGGTGCTGTGTAGTTTCTTAAAGCCAGACTGAAAGATCTCAAGAATAGAATTTCCACTTAAGAACTCATTTAATTGAGTGAAAACTATTTTCTCCAGGATCTTAGAAAGAAAAGGAAGTTTGGAGATTGGTCTGAAGTTTGAGCAGGTTGAAGGATCAAGTCCGGGTTTTTTTTTATTAAAGGAGTTACCACTGCATGGTTAATAGCATCCGGATCTACACCTGTAACCATACTGCTGTTTATAATGTCAAGAACAGAGGGTCCAATGGAGGGTAGGACTTGTTTAAAAAATGATGCAGGGATGGGGTCAGCAGGGGAACCTGAGGGTTTCATATGACCAATGATGTAATTTAGAAATGAGAGGGAAATGGGTTCAAACTGGTGTGAAGAGACTGATGTGGAGGGGACAAAGACAGAGGGGTCAGCTGTGGTGTGAAGAATCAGTGACCTGATCAACTCAACCTTTTTAACAAAGAAACTGGCAAAGTTGTCACACGTAACTGCAGACGCCTCCCAGTTGGCAGACTGAGGCACGGTTAAAATGGAGTTAATGGTGTTGAAAAGAACGCAGGGATTGTGGCTGTTTGAGGCGATGATTTGGGAGAAATATTTGTTTTTTTTCTGATTTAACAGTGGCCTGGTACTCTTTGTAACATGATTTTAGCATGATAAAAGAAACATGAAGTTTGTCCTTCTTCCATTTACGTTCGCCTTTCCTGCACTGACGTTTGGCTGCACGAGTGATCTCATTCATCCAAGGGTGTGGAATGCGCTTTGAATGCCTGATTTTTAATGGCGCAACTAGGTCAAGAACCTTAGCACAGGTCTCTTGATGTACAGTGACTAGCTCATGGGTGTTCATGGAAGAGGATTCAGAGACTGATAGTTTTTAGTGAAAGCAGAGGAAAGTATTAATCTATATTATTATATTATATATAAAACATATATTATATTATATATTATATTAATCAGTATATAAAGTATTAATCAGATTCTGATTTGCTTATTTAAAATAAAAACAGGTATGCAAACATAGAAAAAGAACCTGCAAATCATCACAAAAAAAGCTGCAAACTGGTTATGTATACCTGGATTATTGAGCATGGACTTTTTTTGGTTAAATATAGTTAGACTTTTTCTATTGATAGACCTATAAACTTGTTAAGTCGTCTCATTTGCTTTGTCTACAAACTTATAGTCCTTTTCTTGCAGATCATTCCTGTGGTGGCTCGAATGATAACGGAGATATTTTCTGGAGACAACACCCGGTCATTTGACAGCGGCAGCGTTCGCCTGCAAATTTCAATCCCAGATATAAAAGACAATATAGTGACCCACCTAAAGCAGCTGTACAGCCTGCTGCAGAACCACCAGGGTCAAGAGGGCTGGGCTTTACCCCCAGGTCCAGGTCTGAACATCGCCCAGGCTCTGCAGTCTCAGTGAAGCTGCCCACACTGTGAACTCGTATACTTCTATATCACACACAACTGCTGGTGGTGGCACATTCTTAGCAAAAAAGTACTTATGTGTAACCATATTTAGAAGTGTGCACAACATTCTATGGAGTTTTGCTTTTTTTTCCCAGCTTCTTTCTAAAATTGTGCTCTAAATGTGTTCTTTGTTGTTTTATTTTTTATTTTTCATGTACAATGTGTGCCTTGAATCCTGCACAGCTCGGTGCAGAAACTGTAGCTGGATGTGGTGGTGGCTTGGGTCAAAGTCCTGCTTTCTGCAAGGGAATATTTATCGTAGTTAATCAGTTACAGATATTACCTCGTCTCTTGTTTAACCCCTCAGGTTTGTGGTCTCATGACCCATCCTAAAAGCTGTCAGTCATCAGTGAATGTGAATCACTTTGAGTGATATGTTTAGCCTGAGATTTGTGTATTTTTTGGGGGAAAGTAGATGAGGCAAAGTTTGGATGTATTTTTCTACAAATCATATCTGACCATGGGCGAGTGGTCCCAGTTTTTATAGAAAAAACTATACAAATGCATTTTTTTTTTCTCTTCTTGACAGATGTGAGTTTAATCATTAGTTTGTCTTCAGTAATTTTATTCTTCCATGTACAACATTGGGACTATTTTTGTCCTTTGTATATTTCAGTTTAAGTGAAATGTTGTTAGCAGTCTTGTTTCTTTATAAATGGAGCCTACGGCACTTTAGGTGCTGAATCCTTGTTCCTGGCTTGTTGCCTTCATTTACCCTGTGACTGCATGTTTTGTTTTATCAATAAAAATACTAAATCAGCAAAACTGCTTAACCTGAAATGATTCAAGTGTCTGTGTTCTTGAACTTGCTACAAAGTGAGGATCATTGCAAGTATAAAACGAACAGAGTGGGGTCTGATTAGAAAAGTGCAAACATTTTTTAAATTGAAATGGCTTTAGGCTATAGGATGCAACTCTTAAGGTTTATTTTAGGCTAAACTGTTGTGTGGGTGTGTCTATAGAGTCCTGCAGCTGACTGGTTGTTCACCAAGAAGTTAAAACTGTCATCACACTTGGTCTCCTAGTTAAAGTGCTGCAAGCTGATGGGAGTCCAAAACATGAAAATGTTAGAGTCAACACCATGAGCTGTTCAACTGTTTTGGGCTGTAGGATACAATAAATATAACTGATTTCTCAAAGGTAAAATGAAAAATATATAGAGAAGAAAGTAATCGTATGACAAGTATTGAATAAAAAGTACATGTCAAAACATTTGTTTTTGTTTCCCTAAAACAAGTCAAGTGTCTGAAATACAGCAGAAAATCTACAACAGTTAGGATAAAACTAGCGGTAGATTGACATCCCTCTTCGCTGAAGGATTTGAGTAGTAAATGTTTGTATTTTCCAAGATGGGTGTTTTTCTGGACTGGAATTGAACAGGGAATGCTAGTAAACCTTAATGTTTTGTCCTGATGTATGTTCAATAATCCATGTCGGTGTTTCCCCTAGTTAACTTGCCATGGCGAGGTGCTCATCTCATTCATGATTTTTGTTGAGGGGGGCGGGACAGAGACATGTCTGAGCACAGCTTGTACCAACAGTTTTTGAGCAGGGTGGGGGGGTTCTACATGAAGGATGAGGCACCTATAGCTTTTAACTAGAGCGCCTGTATTGCAAGTTGCTAGATTAGCGTGACACGTTTGAGTTGTGCGCTCTTTATACACAGTTTTTGAGTGTGTGTGTGTGGTGTTCAGCTTGAGAGAAGAGGCAACGTGAGTGCTGCCTTGAGCTTTTTAGCTAGAAAGCCTGTATTTTGCGCCACTTGCTTAGTGCTACGTTAGTGCCGGGTGGTGGGGGGGTGGCGCAAGTGTAATGAGCATAATACCTGTCAGATATTATTCATAATTTAAACTGATTCTTTCATTTTTCTGGACTGAGTTCTATCGTGTTTTGAATGATTAAATGTGGACGGAAACGTGTTTTACCTTTGACTCACCAACAACAGTGGGTCGTTTATTTAAAAAACGATTTAAACACATCACACATTTACAATAATTGGCAGATTGATTACAATTAACACAGCTTAATTAATGAGCTTTACAATGAGAACCATACGGCCATGGTATCTCACCTGCAGCTTTTGAAACCAACAGACATTTCTGAAAATATCTGGATTAATTACTGGCAAGATAGAAGAGTTTTAAAGATGGGAAATGAAGGAGTTTAAATGGAGAGAAAATGGATGAGGGAAAAGTGGGTTGATAACGAACGGCACCCTCCATCCGAACCCAGCTCCACCTCGGTACACTTCGGTAGTGAGGGACTCGTTACCTTGTAGAAGATGTCTCCACTGGTACGGAGTTCCATTTAACGCTACCTTTCCAGCGTCTCCGTAGGAACAGCTGCGAATCGTGAAGTAGTGACGGTACTTCGTTCAACACCACGCTCACCTCACGAGTGGACTCACATGAGCTGTGAGTCCGTCAGAGGTTCCACTCAGATGTGGAAGATTCCATAATCCCCACGAGACTCGGAAGAACTTCGGATCATGTCTGGAACTTCTTGTTCTCTCCAGCAACTTTCCTGTTCGGTTCTGCTCTCCGAACTGAACTGGTTGGAACTAGGAAGTGTCGACATTTAAAGAGTTCTGTTTCTGGTTCATTTGGGAAGTCCTGATTGGCTGAAAGAGCCAATCAGGGGTGTGGTTTTAGTGACGTAAGAGGTCACTAGAAGTCAGAAAAACAGAGAGATGTTTTGGAACAGACAGAAAAATGTTTTTGAAACAGACAGAAAAATGTTTTTGAAACAGACAGAGAAATGTTTAGGCGAGATGGGAGGAAACAGGTGCCAGCTTCTCTATTTACGTCTGAGAGGATTTAAAAACATGACAGTTCGTTCCAACAAACTTGTTTGCGTTTGTCTCCGACTTTTGACCGACATCACAACTTGCTCATTTCAGACAGAAGATCAAGAAAATGAATAATTACTCTGTAACAGACATTAACTTGATTTCTACTTTGAATGAGGATTAAAAATCATTAATACTGTTTCACAGTTGATTTAAAATGAGTAGTTCACTTCAACATTTAAAAATGGTTTGAACTAAACACACTTCGATTATCAAGATATTGTAAAATAGTAATGATAATAAAAAAGAGAGTGTTCTTTCAATTGATCAGAGCAGGACACACTTAGAAAGTCTCTGGATGGACTTGATTTGTATTTCTGGACTCAAATCAATGAAATGACAGTTCCTGTTCCAGGAAGGCCATCAGGGTCAGGACTTGACCTGAGGCTTAGTTCACTACACAAGTTTGGTTTGGTAGGTGGGGTGCTCAGTTCTGTTGACGGGGTGGGGCACCTCACTTGTATAATGGTAGGGGAAACACTGCATGCAGATTAATCTAACAAGGTTGAATCAGGTCCTCTGGACAAAACATTTCAACAAAGATGAATCCGTCCAGAGAACCTGATTCAACCTTGTTAGACTATTCTACCTGGATGACTGAGCGTGCATCAGGATATTTTGAACCACTTTGGCCAGGATTGCTTCACACTAGTTCAAGAGTTTGAGCAGACATCATGGAAGAGAGCGGACTTCAGGAACCCTGAGATTCAACCTCTGATGCAGACAGAGTAGCACCTTTCCCAAGAGCCTGCAACTCAAATCTTCTGTCAGTGGGCAAGCAAGAATCAAAAGGCACAGACCCAGCTACTGAATGAACGGGTAAGATAGGCCAGTTTCACCAATGAGGCTTTAGAGGCCAAAGAAGAGCACATTCGACCAAAAAACCAAGCACACAGATCAGACCACATTTCAGCAGGTGATGGATTTCACAGAAAAGGCACACTTAATACAGCATGTCACATAGTCCAAGACCCAACAACAAAAGAAGTTTAATGTACTGGTAATTTGTTGTCAAGCCCATCTCAATCCCAATAACACATTCAATGGAAGACAACACACTGGTAGACAGCCAAATGTCAGGGAGACAGAAAAGTGGGGGAAGAATTTGTCTGACAGACTGCTTACTCAGACAGAGACAGAGCTAGCAGACTGAACTTTATGGTTGCGCCAAGAAGAATTCCTCTGGTAGAGCCAGAGGAATGAGTCATATCCACAGAATCAGCCATCCTCAACAACAAAACATCAGAATTTAATGCAGAACAACTTTGGAACAAAGTTTCAGCCTGCCTCAGCAATGTCAAACCACCACCTTCCAACATCAGCAGAGAGGAGAGGGAAGCACTCACCACTCTCAGCAAGGACATCATCATCATCCTCCCAGCAGACAAAGGAAGGTGCACAGTGGTTTTGAACCAGAAAGATTATCATGAGAAAGTTAACACTCCTTAGTGACTTCACTTATGAACCACTGAAAAGAGATGCAGGAAGTGGTTACAAAAAGAAGTTGATAGATTGCCTGAAAATTTTGGAGCAGGACAAGGCTATTGACTGTATTCGATACCACAGACTGTACCCGAGAGAGGCCACACCTAGTCTGTGTGGTTTACCTAAAATTCACAAACAAGGTGTACCTTTAAGACCAATTGTCAGCATGATTAACTCTGTCACTTACAATGTTTCCAAATATCTGGTGTCTGTACTCACCCTTTAGTTGGCAGCTCAGAACACCACATACAAAGCACCATGGACATTGTGGATAAGTTGAAGGATGTCATCATGGAGACTGATGACACTCTTTTTATGTCACATCACTCTTTATGTGCGGTCCTGTTGATGATGCAGTAGAGGTGGTCAGTTTAAAATTAAAATCAGACACCACGCTGAGCAGCAGGACCACACTTTCCACAGAACAACTGTGTCAACTCTTGAAACTGTGCCTGCAGTCAACCTACTTTACATATGGGGAGCAATATTATAGGCAGAAACATGGGTGTGCTGTGGGGTCTCCAGTTTCTCCTATTGTTGCCAACCTGTACATGGAGGAGGTAGAAAAGAGAGCCTTGACGTCCTTTTCAGTGACACCACTGAGTCATTGGTTGACTCCATAGGAGTCATCAGGACTCTGTACCACAGAGCGGACTGCATCCCTACAAACTCAAAGGCCATGGAGAAGGAATAATCCCACATAAGACAGGCCCTGAAGCAATGTGGATATCTTAACTGGGCCCTCCTGAAAGCAGAAAAAAAAAAAAAAAAACAGGACTCCAGCCATCAGGTGAAAGGAACCAAGACCTAGACCAGTGGTCATACTGTATGTTGCGGGAGTTTCAGAGAAACTGAGACGTTTATTTTCTAAACATCGCATCTCGGTGGCTTTCAAACCCCAAAATACATTACAGCAAAGACTGGTCCATCCCAAATATCCAGTCCCCCGGCACAGAGTAATATTGTGAATGCTGTTCAGTTTCAGGAGGGCTGTGATCAGTCTTACATCAGGGAAACTAAACAGCTACTGGCCAAAATGATGTCCAAGCACAGAAGAGCAACATCATCAGGCCAGGACTCTGCGGTCTACACTCATCCCTAGGCCAGCGGTCACTCTTTCAGAAATGAAGATGTTCACATCCTTGACAGAGAGGAACATTGGTTTGAGAGAGGACTGAAGGAAACCATCTATGTGGGAGAACTCATCCATCATTAAACAGGGGCGGAGGCCTCTATATATATGTTCAACTACCCACCTTTTACAACGCTGTTATTACTAGTATCACTCAGCCGTCTGTGAATAGCAAGCAGCCATCAGGGCACTAACGATCAATTGTTAGGTTGACAGTCCCCCTTTTGCATGTGAACAGTTAGTTTTGGCTGTCAGCAGCAAACTGGTTGATCCACTATGAGAAGGTGCTGTTTATAACAACAAAGAAGATTCTGTCCAGAAGACCTGACTCAACCTTGTTAGATTTTTGATTTTGCAAGATATTTAATAATAATGTGTTGTGTATTGTCATCTTTGTAGGTTCCCATACAATGGCAAAATTGGCTCTCTGCATTTAACCCATCCACCACCAGGTGGGGCAGTGGGCACCCTTTGGAGGTGCCCAGGGAGCAACTGGTGATGGGGTGTCCTGCTCAGAGACACCACGAGATGTGCAATGACCAAGGATCGAGCCCAGGGCCTTCGAGTCCCGAGTCGGCTGCCCTGCCCCTACACCATCTCAGCCCCCTTATTTAAGTGGGTAGGCATTGCACTGTGTATAAGAAGAGAGGTAGGGTTTTTTTTTCTGTCTGAAGCAGCGTAGAGTGATGGATCCTGGAGAATGAAGGGAGTAATGTTATACACTAGGTGCAATGGTGGAGACAGGGCGTGGCCGATGGTGACCTTGGCCACCATAGATTAATCTTTGGTCACACCAATCATTTGAGAAAACTTTACTTTAAGGAATATAAAAACCAGAACCCATATTACCCTGGATTATTGAGCATGCATCAGGATACCAGAAACCATAGTTTCCTTAAATTATAGGTGGCCATTTTACATGTGGCAGAGGCCATCTTGGATTTTGAATTGATGACGCCATTTTTGAAAGAAAACTTTCTCATGCCTAGATGCAACCATAGTTGCATAGAAGTTGTCCCATTGCTTATTTTTCAAGTTATGATGTTCACAAGGTTTACATAATATACATATACCATATATGGCAGCAGCCATATTGTATTTGGACATGGCGGCAACCCAACCCAAGGTGGAGGTAGAGTATTTACAGTTCCCCCTTTTCATTCCATGACGGGGGACAAAAACAGATCCTGCAGTGTTTCAGTCTAAATCCAGATGTTACTATCATTTAAGGGTGGCACACTCCGTTGGTAGAGCTGCTGCCTTTCAGCGAGAAGGTCGCCGGATCAAATCCCGGACAGGGACCTTTAATGGTGGAGTTTGGATGTTCTCTCCGTGCATATGTGGGTTTTCTTCGATACTCCAGTTTCCTCCCACAGACCAAAAACATGCATATTAGACTGATTGATAACTATTGTCCCTAAGTGAGAGTGAGAGAGTGAATGGTTGTTTGTCTCGTTTGTCTCTCTGTGTCCTTGTGATGGGCTGGAGATCTGTCTAGAGTGTCTCCCGCCTCTCACACAGTGAAGGCTGGACATGGGCACCTTGACCCCCACGACCCAAAAAGGAAAAAGCGGGTAAAGCTAATGGATGGAATACAATTTAAATGCTGTAGGATCTTATGTGACCTGCACGTTAATGTTACAAATATTATTGAACTGTGAAGAAAAAAGTTGTGAAGAAGAGTAGGTCAAACTTCCTGAAGATTGATATGAGAATAAAAAAGTAACACAGGATGGTTTTTGAAACTGTGACAAATGAAAGTTCTGTATTTTCTTTTATCATTGAGCGTTTTGTCATATTACCTCTATTTTGGCACTGATTTTTGTTAAATTATAATAAAATGTGGTGATTTGTAATCATTTGTTACTCACTGCATGTTTTTATGCAAATTCAAGATCACATTAAGAAAAAGATGATCTTTTGATTAAAACTCTGGAACTATAACTGTGAGCTTTTATTATGGTTTTATGGTATTTAAGGAACTGGATTGATTTTCTACTACTGCCTAATGAGCTGTAATGCTGTCATTGTTTTTGCCCCAGTTGCTAATGATTAACTTAATGCATGCACACATGCACAGGGCGAACATGTAAACGCCACCCAGAAGGGCCCCTGGCAGAAAGGCGAAAGCTCTAACCGCTGTTTCACCGTCCCGCCTACTTTAAAGACCTTCAGATTTCATTTTGGTTGTTCCGTTCCTTTGTTATGTCACAGAGGATCATAAAAGCAGGTGGCGAGATAACTTGTCAAATGAGAAAGACAATATTAGAACATTTATTAGTTTTCTTTGTTTGTTTGTTTTCTCTTGGTGTCTTTCGTACGAGCCTTAAACCTCTACACAAAAAGGCATAAATTTAAAAAAATTAGTGACATTATGGTTAATTTTTTTCACAAATGGAAGAATCACAAAATGCTCACAGGCCAAAGTTCTCATTTAAAGTCTTGGAAACTTCAGGGTGAGGTGACTTCCTCTGTTTCTCCTAATCTTTGTGACGCCACACTATAAAAACTCACACCCTCATCTGAGACGACTCGCTGACACATTTCGTTTAGCCACTGACGGTGGACCTTGTCCTCCTCCTTCATAAGCAAGTTTGGGCTCATGTTGTCGAGGTGAAGAATGAAAATCTACGACTAAAGAGACCCAGAGACAAAACATTCAACTGCTGAACAGTAGAGGTAAGAGCTTGTGAAGTTTTCAGCCTTTTAACGTCCATTTCATTTGACTTTCTTTGTTTAAATGGTAAAGGATTGTTCAGACTTTGACATTTACTCAGTAAAAAAGTCATTAAAACTTTATATTCCCAGTAGTTATAATAGTCAGAGACATTCTGAAATCAGATGGAACATTTGCTGTGTTGAAGAAGTAAAATATCCTTGACCAACCTATATGGACACATCCATAATGGCAGTAAAATGATGTCATTGTTTCATCAGAGCTTTGTGCTTCCATGAAACCAGGAGCAACGACCCATTTTATTGCACAAATCTGTTTTAAGTTTTGTTATTTCAGTCAAAACCCAACTCAAACATGTTTTTAATTAGCTCCTATATGAAACAAGTGATTTATGGATCTATTTGAGTTGCACATTTAGTGAGTCAGCGTGCACCAGAGTCCTTTATGGTGCGTTGCTCATCACCCTGCAGGTGTGTTGGGACAGGATGTTCAGAAGCAACAGCCCCTTCAGCGTTGAGACCAACAGCTACACAGGATCTGTCCAGTCCAAGTGTGTCATTTCATAATAATTTACTGATGTGTCTTCCTTCACAGCTAAATCCATGCACTCACATATGTTGATGTTTTTGTTTCATGACAGTGGGTTTTCCACTACGGATGAGACCTCGTCACAAATAACAAACGTATCAAAGCCCAGTGCAAAATCAATTTATTGTAAGTTACTGCTCTGAAAAAGTCGTATAACTTGTTTATTCATAATAAAAACCAACTCTCGCAGCGTTTGTGGTTTGACAGTGCAGAGGTTGCAGTATGCAGCGTCCATGAACAAGATGCTGGAGAAGTTTCAGTACAAAGTGGAGGTAAGACGACTTCATGATGCTTCTCGGAACCGCGGTGAGTTCATCGCGGTTTTTGTTTTGTGTCGCAGCACTTGTTCACCTGCGATCTGGACGGCCAGGAGCTGAGAAACGTCAACGACTGCGTGGAGCGCCTGAAGCTGCTGAATCATATGGGTCGCGTGTGGGGTCAAAACATGATGCTGGAGGTGCACGGTGCCGAGCTGCGGCTCACAGACATCGAAACAAAGGTGTCGGCACAAACCTCTTACTCTGTCCCTGTAAATAAAAAGACCTGAGCGATAGTAATTTAATTAGTAACAAATAATAAATAAACTCAGAAATGAAACCTTAGATCTACAACTGATTGACATTTGAAGTCAAGTTGATTCAAAATAGCCATCAACACAGTTTATTTACTTTATTTTTTTTACAGATGTGCTAAAAACTGCTGTGGTAGTAGCTGAGAGTCATCCCCAACACACACTTTGAGAACTAACAGATTGTGTAAAAGCTTTGTTTAAATCTTTGGCATGGAAGTCAACGGGTGATATGCAACCGTTCAAATGCTGCTGCTGCCATCCTGTTTAAGTTAATGTTGTTTTTTGGAAGGGTAATTGTTACGTTTGTTTACATTTACACCCCGTTTTAAAACTCGTTGTATGAATGCGATAAAGCACTGATTAGTCTTTGTACAAATCTAGTAGATTAAATCAAACTTTTAGATTAGATCAAACTCAAGGCCCGGCCGGGGGCCAAATGTGGCCCTCGTTGACATATTGCCTGGCCCCCAAGATGTTATTTTTAATGTAAAATACTTTAATCACTTTAATTTTTTCAGTAATCTTTGATTATGATGTCAAAAGTGCAACAGAAAACGTCAAATGAGACCAATCAAACTGTTATTGAGGAACCCACAACCAAGAAAATGATGTTGGGGATCTAACTTGAGTTAATGTAGATTCTGAAACCGGCCCTTAGTTTGAAAAAGGTTTTCATTTTGGCCCCCGTTAGTAAGTGGGTTGGACAGCCCTGTAGTAGAGTGCTGCATGAATGAGTCAATGAGGGCACAGGTTGAAGTGTAAAGCGCTTTGAGTGTCTTGATATGATAGAAAGGTGCTATATACGTACAGTCAAATTACCATTTACGCTAAATGAAAGGTTATGGGTATCATGAACACAAATGAAGCTTAAAAAATGGTTAATTTTAAAATTAAGAACTTAAAATCAGCATCACAGATTTTAGCAAGTGAACTGTAAAGAGAAAAGGTTAATAAAAACTATCTAGGTAGTCCTAAATTTTTTTAAAAGAAAAAACAATAACGCACAATCAAATGTACAGTATTAGACATGAACAGTATCTTTATCTGTTTTCTGTCTGTAAATGTTTTAGTCATTTAATTTCCTTTATTTAACCAAATTAAACCTCATTAAAATCAAGCTCTTATTTCCACACATCATAACAGAGAAATATATGTGTCATAATGAAAGGACAATCATTTGAACAACAAAAAAGGTTGAATCATGTCATCTGGACTTCGTTTTTTTTTGTTAAAAAGAAACGTTT